TTTCTGCGTCAGTCCATCACACATCTGTAACAAAAAAAGCTGTGTGGCATAGTGGCTAAAAGAATCAGTCTGGGAGTTCTCAAATCAAGTCCAGCTCCATCCAGATGCATAATTTGTAGAATACCTGCTTAGGTGCCGCTTCCCAACATCTAATTGCAGGCCACATGGCCAGGCTCTATGCCACTTCTGCATCCTGTACTGCAGAGGTGGGAAGAAAGTAGTTCTGCAGATGTGTTCGACTGAACCCCAGCGTTCACGACCATTCGCAAGGGACTTCTGGGAACTGAAGTAACAACACCTGGAGGGCACCTGGTTGGCCAAGGCTGGCCTATAAGCCTGTTTACATGACCAGCACAGAATTAAGCAAATCGCCTGCACCGCCTCCACCAACGACATAAGATACCGGTTCAAAACTTGGTGGGATTTGGATACTGTGGGACCACCACCACCCTCCCCACTAGGAAAAGCGCATGGGAGAACCCACATCCAGCCACCGCACTTTTTGATGCGAAGGACAGCTCGTTCAGGCAGGTGGCGGCTGCCCCAGGAACGCGGCATGCCGCTGAAAGAACTGTTCCTCCCCGCCTACCTTCCAACGACCCCAAGAGAAACATGACCGGTAAGCGACAGACACCCATCCCCTTTCCGAGTACAGAGAGCACTAAACAGGTGAGAAGCAGGAAGGGAAAGGACGGGAGCGGCCATTCCTTGGCCGCGCCGCGCACGCAGAACCCCATAAATAAGACAGCGCACAGCGAGCGAGAGACCCTTCCAGCCCCCTCGACATACAACAGACATACCGGTTGCAGGCTTGAGCGAGACCCCCCCTTTCGCTCCGCTGGCTGTGGCGTTTCTGCGTTGGCCTGCGCGTTGACGTCACCTAGCAACGACGGCTCTCGCTGCTGTGCGCGTTGACGTCACTTAGCGACAGCGTGCTCCTGCTGCTTTGCGTGCTGACGTTTACAGTAAAGTCAGGGAGGAAAGATTGAGAGATTAAGGAACGCAGAGGCATGAAAGAGAACGAAGAATTTCTCGTCATTGTACAGGCACATTCCAAGTACAGATTAGGATCCATTTTTATATCTCACTTTTTCTGACTGAACATGTTTAGGGTGTGAGAGCTACACATGGAATCAATGGAGAAATATAGGATTTTAACGCAGCATGCCCACTCCACCCCGAAAACCAACGAAGCCAGGAACGTCAACTCTTACCAACTTGGAACTTATTCGCGTGAAAACTTTATTCACTTCAAACCATTTAAAAATGAACGTGTCTGCAAATTCCAAAGCCCATCCGGCTTCAACGCTACCTTAGCTGAGAGCAACTGACGATACTTCTGTAGAGACCGGAAACAGACCTTGTGCCTTACTCACAAGTCTCAGGGTCGGGAATCGAAGGGAGAAGGGCGATTCGGCGGTGCAGGGCTCCGTTCAACCGCTTGGGCTGGAGGGCAAGAGCTTTTGGTGGTAGAACGGCGTCCTACGAATCTATATATAGGTATGTGTCAAGTTTCTTCATTGCCAAAGGAATTCTAGCCGTCTCCTGCCTGGCATTGTGTTCAGTGGGGCTTACTCCTTGGTGATCACTTTTAAGATTGCAGCCTCAATAGTATCTTCATTAAAATTTACCGTTTTGGAGTAACATTTCCCTCTAGCTTTAAAAGAACGTCTTTAAAATCAGGCAACAACAATCACCAGCATAACCTTCACTACAAGTTAAAAACAAGCATTATCCTTCAATTAACTTGCTTCCAGATGACGCTTTTATTGTGTCTCATTCATGGAATTTTACTGTAACATCTTGAACCCTCTAATTTCTTGCAACTTCATCCGTATTTTTTCTTACCACAAAAATAATAAAACCAGTGAGAAGATGGCATAGCTGCCCAATGTCTTTTGACTGGTAATGTTAGGATCTTTCCCTCTGGAAGTACAGAAAGTGTCCAACTGCAGCAGGTAGATAATGCATTTTTTTTTAGGTGGTAGATATACCAGGTCTGATTTATACAGGATGCAAGCCATGTGGAGTCTTTTTACCCACGTTAAGTTTTCTCATTGCATTACCATTTGTTTCTGTTGGTGCAATACATTTAGCATTGGTGGACTGCCAGCATTTGATACTGTCCAGAGCCTGACTTTTAGTTCAATGGATATTTCACCTTGTTGGGTTTGGTTCCAGTGTGGTTCATATCTCCTAACTCAACTTTCTCCAGTCTAGTATCTCCAGATGTGTTGAATAACTCCTATCATCCCCAGCCAGCATGGCCATTGCTCATGTTGGTTGGGATGATACAAGTTGCCATTCAAAGCCTTTGAGGGCACCAGGCTGTGCAACACTTTTTAACCTAAGGCCATCTAAGCAAAGTGTGCAAGCTAGTATGCTTCAAGGAATCTCAGATAACTGGGTATGTCTCACATTATTTCACCTATTTCAACTGGGTATAGTTCTTGAACACAGAACCTATGGCATGCATTCTATACTGTCATGTTATGCTTGTTTTCAGTTTACCAGTTTGTGTCCCACTGTCTTTTACAGGGTGGCAGCAGCAGTAACAGTCTCAAAATGTGTTTATGTAATACAGTACAAAGATAACATGGAAGAAACCCTTCATGAGTTCCAGGAAGCAGAGAGCAGTGACCTTAGGAGTACCAGCTGTAAAGTAAAACATCTGGTCTCAGGTGTATATTTCTCCTTACTTCTAGTCTTTAGTCCTGAACTTGCCTTATGCTGCCACTCCAACCTCCTCCAATCTAGACCAATTTCTAGCCCTCTCAGCAAGAACTGATCTCAGGGACTTGCCATTCCTCCCTCCCTCCACTTATTCTCCCTATATAACAAAAGAAGACACCCTTTTGAAGGCTGAAGTACATTCCTCTGTAGAATACATTGCAGTGGTTCTGTTGATCTAAGCATGGGGGAGGGGAAGACAATCTCCCCTTAGCTCAGTGGTAAAGCACAACTGTCCTGCCTGAGGAAAGTCTCCGTTTTAATCCCTGGCATGTCCAGCCAGAAGGGGATGAGATGATGAAAGATCACTTCGGCTCAAGACTACTGCCACGTTCAAGTAGCTAATATTTGGCTTCTGGACAAGCAGGGTAACCATAAGGTGGTCGAGTTGACCAGGAGCCTCCCAGCAATTCTGTTCAAGGATCATGGAATAGTCCCCGTTTCTTCTCTGATAAGCACATCATCTGAACAGTAGCATGGGAGGGTGCCAAACACAGCATCCAGAAACAGTGGTCCTGTGTGGGACATTTACACCTTCTCGCACGTATTATGACAAAAGAATGTCACACAGTACTTGCAACTTGAAAATAAATATTTTTATTTGATGGCACAATTCACCCAAGGCTGGTTAATCCTAAAAGATCTAAAATGCTAATAACCCGTCAACTATTAAGACAGTTTGGTCATGGCTATTTGGCAAAGTGTGTGTTGCATAGTCTAAGCGTGCTATAAGAAATACTAATAAATACTAATCGGCTCATGTGTCAGATCTGTAAACCTCAGGGTTACGTAGATAAAACTGGAAATGAATCTTTACTTTGAAAGAGCAAGGCAGGTAAACAGAAATACCACAATAAGCAGTACATTAGTATTTCAAATGTCTAGGGTTTCAAATATGTTAGCTTCCAATACAGTACCATGCGAAGATAGAACATTCTGCATACATTCACACACTTCTTAAAAAACATGAGTCAATCGTCCTGTTTTTGAGACACAGCAAATATGGGTGCATTTAGCAGCAATGCTCAATGTGGGGAGTTGGAGGAGGCATGCTGAAAGGGAGGTGATAAGCTAGAACCAGTTATCCACCTGGAAAGAAATGAAATGGCATCCCACACCACTTTGGGCACCTGTTACTAGCACTCATACTAATGCAGAAACACACAGGGAGTGAGGCATTAACCAGACATTGCTATTACCTCCACAGTATTTTCCTTCTTTCTGTGCACATGGGTGGCAGGCACGTGGGAGCACCTGCTCTGGAATACAGTAGTTTTAATGTCACTGCCAATTCAGAGTAGGAGCATTTTTAAAAAATGTATTATCTGTACAGCCCACCTTTTTCCCATCAAGGAAACCAAGGCAGCTTACATGGCTCTTCTCACAAAAATAGCCCTGTGATATAAGTTAGGTTGAAGTCAGTGACTGGCCCAAAGTCACTCAATGAGCATCATGGGTGAATGGGCACTAGAACTCAAGTCACCTACATCCCAGTCCAACACTCTAACAACTATGCTGCACTGACTCTCTCTGTGAAATAAAGCTACAATTCTATATTCCCTTATCTAGGTGTAAATCTCACTGAACTCAATGGGCTACTTCTAAATAGACATGTATGAAATTACACTGTAGGCTTGTTTTACCCAAAGTAATTGGCCCAGATGGAATTTTATGTCAGAAAATCTTCTGATTACTGCACGATAAAGAGCCCAAACAAGCTTCTACAAGGATTAAAAGGAGCTTGCTATCAGAGGAGGAAGGAGCAAGACTTCAGTATTCTCTTTCAGCTCACAGGCATTTAATGTGTGTCATCTACATTCAGTGAGGGTGCAATCCTATTGGGATAATTTTAAGCCCCCAAATTTGGAGGCTTAGTATCATCCTATCCAGGGTGGGACGAATGGCAGAGGTGACCTTCACCTCTTCTGTCCTTCCACCCTGCATTTTTCTTTGACAGGCATTTTTGCCCATCTAGCAAGAGCACTTCAGAGGGTGAGAGAAAGAAGCTGGGGAGGCCTTAGGATAACTCATATTCTGAGCTCTCTAGTCTCTTTCCCACCCACTAGAACACCCATTAGCTTCCTGACTGCAGAAAGCAGCTGATGTGGTTCTTTCTGTACCAGATCTTTGATTCCCAGCTCTGAGATCACAGCACCATCTCAGACCAAAGATCTCTCTTATGGCCCCTCAGGAGGCCATAGGGTTGCCCCCTCCAAGATATGTATTGCCCTCTTGTCTTTTGTTAGTAAATAATGCAAATGCAACAATCCTTCCTACCAAAAACTAATTTTTATTTGGACTAAGAGAAAATCTGGCTGACTAACAATTCAAAATCCACTCAGCCATGAATAGGTTATGATGAAGATTTCTGCACAACATACACTATATAATTGTATTCCAGAATAGCTCCATTTAGTCATCACACACACAATGGTTTGTTTCTGTATCTGAACCTATGCTAGCTCAATCATGATTTATGGTAATTATGGTTTACATTATATCTGAGTTCATAAGTCATTCTTAAATCATAATCATCATGATTGCTCCTCCTCAAGAGGCAGCTACCATGATGACAGGAGTAAATTTATGAAATACTGTGCAAATGAACAACTTTCAACAAACAGATCTTAAACATTTGGAATACAAGCCATGATGTGGGGTCTCAACTATGATTATCACAATCCAAACATTAAGCTTCTTTTTAAAGCACCTCCTCCAGGAATAACAGGAACAGATGACCAGCTTCCAAATAATTTGTTTTGCATTCAGGGAAAATTACTATGTATGGCTTGCAATGAACAAAACGTGGACTCTTTTAATCACTTCTCACTTACAAAGCAAGGTGGAAAAGGGGAAGAAATATACAAGAACATTGTTCTTAGGTCTCAAGCCTCCAAACCAGTTTGGAGAATAGGCTGAATGCAGCCATCCCCTCCACATATGTTGTGCTAGAACTACTTTCGAACAACAAGCCAAATTGAAAAGAATCAGAGGGTGGGGAAAAGGAGAATGTGAGAGTGCTGGCATGTACTAATTGGGTTTGGGGACAAATTTTCTTCCCTTAAATCAAGTATATACCTCACAAACAGGAGAACACTGATTAGCATTTTCAGTCTCTTGATGAAAGATAATGTTGCAGTTTTTCAAACAGAGAGCAGGGACACCATGTTATTAGGACTCAGAATTTCAATCCAGTAGCCGTCAGGATCCTGGATAAAAGCCAGTCCTTTCATTTTACCTATGAAAGATGAATATATAAGAAAGCAATTGAGAAAGAGAACAAGAGAGATACCAACACTCCATGTTTCAAGGTTCTACAATAACCTTTCCCAATCTGGTGCCCTCCAAACATGCTAAACCACAATTGCCAACATCCACAAGTATAGGATGGTGGGAATTGTGGCCCAACACTTGCAGAGGATGGTCGGTCTGGGGAAGGCTGTTCTAAAACTAATGAAAGATTAACTTCTATGTACCTTCTCTTCAAGAAGGTCACAAATAATTTCACATGTTAATTTTATGTCTTGTTTCTATTCCACTCAAAGACCCAAGACAGCTATTGATATTAAGCCACCTAGATCCAAGCATACAGTGGCTCTGAATGCTTCACATAACTGGATTCAAATAAGAGAACAAGACTTAGTTTTCTCTCTCTAACCTAAGAATCCTATGTATGAACAAACGAAATCTGAAGGTCACAGCATCGTTAACCCCATACATGTTACCCTGATTACTTTTAAAAAGATGCGTTCACTGGGATAAATACCTTGCAAATTAGGGAAGCATCTCAGCTCTTTGCCTTCCAACTTATTCCACCTGGGAGGACAGCAGGACCTGGCAACTATCATTCTTGCTTTGAGACTAGATATCAACCTGTTTAATTTATTTAGTTACAATGCTGAGCCATCCACGCTAACAGTTTTCAAAGGGGTAGCTATACTAGTAAATTGCTACCAAAAAAGTGCTTGCTGCAGATTGCACTTCATATATTTGACTAAGTGTACTTTAGCCCATGAAAGTTTGTCACAGTAAGTTTGTCTCTGAAGTGCCACAAACTGTGTGTTGTTTTAATCCTGACTGTGCTTCCTGTCACTCTTCACACTTATCCAGAGGCACACACAAGCATGTAACTTCAAACCAGTGATTTACCATAGACTTACCATCATCCGGTTTTTTAACAAATTTCACTCCCAGATCCTCAAATCTTTTGCAAGCTACATTTACATCAGGAACAGCAATTCCAATGTGACCTGAATCAACCAAAGGCAGTGAGACAATTACGGCATATATGAATAAACCTCCTTTCATAAAGTTACCTTGCAATAAAATGTAGTTAATATTCCATGGCATAAACGTAGAACACTTATCCAGTCTGTTCTGACATTACAGCTTACAAGAATCACAAATTAAGAAATCAGTTTACTAAAAAATCCTACCTACATCTACTCACAAAAATGAATTAAAAACACCCAGTAATTTTTCTAGTGTTGATTGTCCTAGTAGAAATTTAGATGGAACATTTACTCTGAGGTTTGATCATATCTGCATCTCAGAGGCAGGCGTAAGGGAGATTTTAAGCTGTTTTGAATCAGCTCCAAGCATAGTCAGTGCTCGGTGAATACCGTGAGTTGAAGATCTACTTTCTGCCACTTCAGCTCTAATTTATGGGTCACAGCCCATAAGAGGGAACTATACCACCCATATGTCCCAAAGCACCTGTGAGCTGATGTTCCTTTGTGAAGGAACACTCAAAAAACATTTCATGGTAACAATCAGAAACCAAACGAGCAAGAAATATTGCAGCAGAAAAAGAAAGATGCTTGATGATGTGTAGATCCAGTGCACATTTTGTCCTGGTTCACATTCTCATGATATAAAACTTGCTCTGAAGATTTTGTGCCTAACCTTAAAAAATCTATAGACGCAGAGGGAAGATGGTGGGTTGCTTGATTGCTTTAAGTCCATGAAATAAATAAGGGTAAGAAGTATTTTGCCTCTGCACAAATTGTATGAGACAAATCGATTAGCTTTTAATCTATAACAGTCTAAATTAGACCACTACATTTGCTACTTCAGAAATTCTTGAACAATTTGGTTTAAAAGTGAGTGTGATGCACTTTGTTTTTCTTTATAACATACCAAATCCTCGAGGGTCTGAGTTGCCACTGTGGTAAGCCTGATTCTCATCATTTTCTGTGCCCCAGTTGCTACAAGAAAGGGGGAAATTGAAATAATGATTAAATGCCTCATATCTGTGAACAAGTTTTTAAAACCATTTATTGTGAGTGGAAGAACATAGCAAAATGAGAAAGTAACAGAGAGCAGCAAACAGAAAATTTAACAAGCAGCAGAGATTAATCAAAAAGGATATAAAAAGCACAGCATTACCAATTGGCTGAAACAATATTGTAAAAAATATTCCTATGGCTTATATAGTAGGGGAAAGCTGAAAGTCTTTATTTCCCCTTAAGCACAGCCCCTTCAATTTACTTGCTGGAGAAGAAAGATCTAAGATGCTCCCATCTGTCAACTAATTTCACTCAACAGAAATCAGTATGTCCAGCAGCTATTGAGCAGCTGAGTTTGTTAATGAATAGATACAAGCCACAGATACAAGCAATGGCCAGAATGAGAGAAGGCATCAAGTGCTATGCCCAGAGGGCCGTATTTCAGCAGCCTAAGGTGGTGGAGGCAAGAGAAAAGGGAATGGTCTGAGAGTAAGCCATAATCCTATGGAAGTTCCACCTGGGAAATGGTGGAAGCTGCAGGACCTAAGCCCATCTGGAACTGCACCCTAAGGCTATCAAGTATGTCTAGCAGTCACAGCAGACATGTGCCACAGCAGACATGGCCTCAACCTTGAAGCTGCTCCCTGGTGGACAGCTTCAGAATCCAACTGTCACTGCCTATTCTGAGAAATCTCAGGGGCATTGCAGATATTAAGCATATAGCAAGTAGCCTCTTTGTTCTTTTTTTTTTACTATAATGTAAGTTCCTAATCCATTTCTGAATCCTAGCATGTGTATTAGGAGGCATTATCTTCTACCTTTGTTATGGGTTTAATCCACTGATCACTATTTTGCAATACATATTGCAGGGTGGGGTGTGCACATATGCATGCATGCATGCATGCATGCGGGGAAGGGGGAGCCAGATCAGATCTGTCACAAGAGGGGAGGACCCTCACCTCACTGTAGGGTCCCAATCCAGACTGGGGCCCCCGGATTTCTATTAGAGTAAAAACAGCAAAGATATACGTGTTTGTTACAGCTTTAATGTCATACTTATTTGGGCTCAAGTCTTTTGCTTAAATGGATCAAGAAGCTTCTGAAAAGAGAAGGTTATCTCCTGTGTTTATGTTGTGGGTTCAAAGGAATTTTGTCTTGATACTTTTGATAGCTCCTTGTTTTCTTAGCTGCTTTGTAGGACACATATTGCCAACTTGTGTCTCAATCGTTCGTGATATAGCTTAGGTCTTCCTTTGCATAATGCCCAACTCCAAAGCTAATTTTGTTTGGACACAGAAAGAACCAGGACATGATAATGATGAAATACCATCTATGTGCAGCTATGCAAACAACAGCTATCCGCTTGTTAAATTCAATGGTACTTACTCCCAGGAGAGGTACTCCCAGGAAATCACCATCCCTGAGTGGGAAGGGAGAGTGTATATGGGCCTCAGTGCCCCAACACATTAAGGGAAAACCTCTCATATGAAAGAATATAAAAACCAAGTCTCAAATGCTATTTCAGTTTGTTATTTTTAAAGGTACAAAGTTCTCCATCAATGGGGTAACTGTAGGTGCAGGCTGCTTCTAGTCCTACTTCCAGTCACTAAGCTTTTGAAAGTTTTATATTAATTATAATTTTTAAGTTGTCTGTTTATTACATTTATATCTCCCTTTACTGCCTCATGTGGAACTAAAACTGGATATTTCTTAATTAAAAAAGATAACGCACAGGTTCAGATGTCCTGGAAGTAATCCCTTTTGCCTTAAAATGCATCACACAGCTCAGTAGTAAAGGACTTGTTTTACATCCAGAAGGTTGAATCCCTGGCAACATCTCCAGTTAAAAGAATCAGTAACAAGTGATGAGAAAAACCTCAGCCTGAGTTGCTGAACAGCCATTGCTAATGAGAGTAGACATACTAGACTAGCTGGAAAAGTAGTCTGAACTGATATTAGGCAATTTCCCATCTAAGCAGCTACCTACAATTCTGTATGTTTGGGTGAAAAGTTGTAGTTGCTCGATGTATGAGAAAGTCACCCCACTTGTGAGACAAGGAAGGTAGTTTAATACAGCTTTCAGTGTACATAGTCCATAGAAAAGAAGATTGGGAGAATACAGTTTTAACACTCACTGTGTTAGTTCTAATGTGGCTTTCCTAGAAAAGGTCCATGCCACTTTCTCCTTTGCATCTTTTGGAATATCATGTTTATCTTCATAAGCCAGGAAGTAGAGTGAGAACTTCATAGTAGGGAAATCAAACTTCTGGATTAGGCTTGAAGACAACCATATGTGAATTAGTAAGAAAAGGTAAAAGAATGTCACTCTACACATAAACAGAGCTGTAAGGAAGTTGTCACTTATCAAAAGATTCTGAGTTAAGTCAGAGGTTTTTCCTTTCTAAAAATACCTAAGATGGCACCCTAACTTGGTACTTCGTTCCACTGCAAATAGTAACATTTCCCACATAATTAGTAACATTACATCGTGGAAATTATTTCCATCATCAACACCACCAAAAAGTTCAGTAACAAACTTAGCTCAGTATAAAAGATAATACTACTTTCCTAATATTAGAAAGCAGTTTTTGACCCATGCAAATACAAATGCCCAGCCTGGGAATTATCCCATAAGCAAGATGAAAGTAGAAATCTGGGTCTGGGATGAAAGTAGAAATACAGTACTGCTGTGGCAGGAGATTTTCACTTGAAAATGGTATTTGACAGGCAGTACTCCTGAATGCCATCCTATCAGCTTGTTGCCAATTGCAGCACCCCAAAACACCCCAAAAGTAATTGGCCACAGGAAGGCACCAAAAGTAGTTGGCCAGAGGAAGACCGCATAGTAAAAACACCACAGTTATACTGTTCCAGAAGGGAGGGCAGGTAAGAACAAAATGAACTTTGTGTAACCCACAACTAACACGCTAGCCTGACCTCGAATACAGTAATCAAAGGGACAGTGGAAACTGGTTCTAGCCGCCATGAAAGTTGCAAATGTGCAGGGTGTAAGAACATGGCAAGCCTGTGTGAACCTCGAGCAGATAAGAAATAGACATGGGAAATGTCTGGTCCTTGACAGAAGGACTCTTTCTCTAGCACTGGAGGAGGTGCATACATTGATGTATCAATATATTAGATGTGTATCAGGTGACCTAATTGCTTATGTAGGGTATAAAACCGCATGTACTGGGGTGCAACTTTCGAGATACTGCTTTGGGCTGAATGTCCCCTTTTTTTTATTATTATTATTATAACATTTCTATAACATTTCTTTTGTCTCCCTTTATTCTATAGTGCACTAGAATAAAGCAATTTTGGCTCTAAGTCTCGTCTCGGGCTCCTTTTGGCTCGGGTATGGGGTCCACCCGGGTTTGCCCTAGCTGTTGACTGGCTGAGTTCAGTAACAAGCTGGTGGGGGACAAAGATGAACCACAGCAACATTTCTCCTGCAAAAATAACTAGGATCACTTCACAGTTTATGAGACAGAGAACACTTCTGTCTAATTAGAATTATTTTCTGTCTCTAATTTGAATTATTAAGAAATAACCCTAACCCTTTCCATTCCGAAAGATTTTGTTCTAGCTGAGGCTGACATTGAGAAGAAGGGGAGGTTTTCTCCAGTTTTCCCAAAAGCTACCTTCCATATTATTCTGCAGGATCCCCAAACCTCTACAGCACTTTGGGGATGCTGAAGGTAACAAAAGCTACCTTCCCTCCTTCTGCATTAGCAGGGGTATTTCCTAAACAAAGGGCCCTTCCATAAACAGGACACAATCAGGTTCAACCCATTTTAGTTAAAGTTTGTTAAACTTTCTAAACTACACTGTGAATAGATCAGGTAATGATGTCTCCGATCTTACATTTTACAGGGGTGGCAAGCTTACTTTTAAGAAGAGAGCACTGAAAAAAATAGCCAAAAACAGTTTGCACTTACGTCATTCCAAGAACTCTTGTATAAAAATCCAGTGACTTTTTAGGATCTTTTATTCTTAGCATTGTCTGCTGCAACAGAAAATCCTATGGGAAGATGTAATTAGTTACGCTGCTATGAATTGTGAAAGACACTAGAATATAAGGAAACCAGATTCAGGCTAGATATCAGGAAAAGTTTCCTAACTGTCAGAGCAATATGACAGTGGAACCAGTTGCCTAGACTCTCCCAAACAACAGACACTTCAAAAAGAAACTGGACAGTCACCTGAGTGGGATGGTATAAATTCATGTTCTGCAAGAGCAGGGGGTTGGATCCGATGACCTTCTTGGCTCCTTCCAACTCTACTACTCTATGATTCTATTAACTTATTTCTTTATAGACACAAAAATGTCTGAGACTAAAATGGTGCCAAGTGAAACTATGCAGAAACTGTACAGGATAGCTATACTTTTTAATATATATATATATATATATATATATATATATATATATATATGAGCACATTATAGTTCATTGTCCGACACTGTCAGGAAACTTTAACTATATGAACTTAGAATATTGTTTTCAGAATAAGCTACTTTTAACTAAGCAACTTGTGCAGAACTACATCCAAACATGAAGATCCAGCAGATTAAACCACTATATATTAAACAGTTCATCACTGAGGGTCAATTCACATAAGATATTGTTCCTACAGTCACCCTCCTGTATAGGAAAGGTTAGGAAGTTTCTAAGTTTAGGGCACAATAATATAAGGTTTCTGAATTGCAGAACCAATGTATGTATAAATGAATACACAACATGAAGTTGAATATGATTATAAATTACTGTATTTAGAGCCAATGAAATATAACTATAAAATCCAACAAAAATAGTAATTGTTGAATTGAAAGGCACTGCCAGACTAAGCTAAGACTTTACATGCACATAATATGGACATTAACACTGCATTGGACACAGTGGGAATCAATTCTGAATAAACATATATAGGACTGGATTGTAAAACACTCATTTACTAGTAGTTTCAACCAAATGCATTTTGTACACACTTTTAAGGAAACATCCTTTTACAGCACAAAACTGTTTTTGAAAAAATCTGAGAATTCATTTTAGCTAATATAGGGGGAAAAACTCTTGCTGCAATCCTAGTTTAAGTCCCACTAAAGTAAACAGGGTTTCAAGATTGCACCATAAATCAAGAGATGGAAAAAAGGAATTTACAGGATATTAGACGTGGCTATGGAATAATGTAGAAAAACTATAAAATGGGTCAATCTCAGAAGAAACTTCTGAAGTACAACTGCAACATGCTTAACACCGTAGGTTCAAAATCTCATTCAGCATAATTATTGGTCATGCAAGGTTTCTCGTAATGACTCTTTTGTGTTTTCTGAACTTGCCCAATTGAGAATTACTAGAAACTGTTATTAGGAAAAATCTGCATATCCCAAAGTTGAGTTAGGCAGCTGCTTGTCACAGTTGGTAATGAGGATCCAGTAGTGAGTGGCTGCTATGTTTTAACTGTGGCAAAGAACACTCCTTAAAACTGGGGGTGGGGGAGGAAATAGGTTCCATGTAGGTTTTAATATGAACAACTGCATCATAAGGCCTTAGTAACAAGTAAACACGGAATCTTATGCTTGTAACTGAGGATTAAAGCCAAATATGAAATGTCTCCTTTTAAGTGCCACGATACCTGCTACAGAATACACAATACTGCATCTAAAATGGATTGCTTAAGTCCTGCAGGACAGGCTCCTTCTGTTCCAACATGCCATTTCCCTACGTGACTAATCAGAGGCCTCTGAGAAGTCCACAAGCAGGTTACTAATGCAACAACACTCATTCGTGCCTGTCCCCACCAAGTAGTACTAAAAGTTATACTGTCTCCAAAGGTAATAAATTGCCATCATGACTGGTAACCACCGGTAGACTCATCCTCCATGAGTTTCTCTCCTTTCAAAGCCAAGCCGGCAGCCGCCTGCACACCTTGAGCCAGCGAATTCGATCGTTTAACTATTAGCTGCTTTAAGAAGTCCTTCCTTTCGTCGAGGAGCACTATACGAACTCTTTGCCTATCACTTTACAAAAGGAAGGGGGACAGTCGCTTGCTAGGACCAAGCTCAGCCCTTCTTTCCCCATTTCCAATATAGCCATATAATTTTGCAAATAGCCCTCCCCATTTCAAAATACTCTTTCTCTCCTTTTACCTTCGTGCTGGGGTCGGGGTCGGAACAAATACTGAACGCTGCATCATCACTAAGGCCACAGGGCTCGGATTGCTCAGACATGTCGGAGTAGTAGACCTAAACAACTCCACCAAATTATACTATCGCCTCAAACCTCAGCGTCTTCTTGAGGCGACAGAGAAAATGAACGAGAAACGCTCTCCAACCAATTAAAAAGAACGCAAATCAGACTAGTCCGCCTTACGCAATTGCTCCACCTATAGTAATGCTGCTTTACTAGGACTAAGGCTATGTTCCTACAAATCCCAGCATTCCGTGCTGAGCTGGGTTGTTGGGTTTTTTGGTAGGGGTTTTTTTTTTTTTTTTGGTTTTATAAAAAATCACTTCCCAGATTGCATCTCCCATCCTTTTTTTATTTGTTAAGAGAAAGGCAATAAATCAGGGTTAAATCTACGGAGAATCACGTGATTTAGGCAAAATGTTCCAACAATGTTTCGATGAAGTATTGCATTTGCTGCGGGGGGGGGGGTTCATTACGCAATGGAGCAGCGGTTTGAAAAAAGAGCAAATGGATACCCATTTTTTAATGGGTAAATTGAGGATCATGTTCCCAGCCAAGGAAACAGAATGGAGGGATTTGTAAGCATATTATATTCTTTCTCTCCATGTGGTTAGTATAGTAAAGGCCTTTAAAATTACGTTAATTAACACAAGCAATTTAGCAGGCATACGATAAAAACATGAGTCATGCGCTCAGTACTTCAAAATGCAAACAAATTAAGGAGTAGAAATCAATATTTCAAAGCGTGGAGTGAGGCTTTGCATTTGCTTCAGCTGGAACACTGGGGATTACTCTATATTCTCTCCCCTGTGTACAGATGTTAATCTTGTTAATCTCACTTCTTTTGAGGGGGACTTGTTGACAGTGCCTTGGACCCACAAGTTAAGTAGGAGACAGTTGGACCACCTTGAGGCTATAAGGACTCTGTTCAGTACTGTTCTCACTGGTCTCCTCTAACTGGAGAGTCATTCCACATCCATTTTTTTTAAATGAAGAAGATAAGAGTTATGATAATGAAGCTGATATGGTTAGCACTCCTGTCAAAGCCCAGGTTGTGTTATAGAATATGGAGGTGATCCGGGCAGTTGACACGATCGCACCTAAATGCCCTCTCCCACTAGGCAGAGCCCAGTCGGCTGCGTGGTACAATACTGACCTGCAGGTAGGATCACAAACTAGAGCACAGGTGGAGGAAAATGTGCTGAATCTGATCAGACATTTTTGAGAGCTCATTATTGAGCCTACTCTGTGGCGGTGAAGGTAGCAAAAAGAGCCTTCTTCTCTGCCAGAACTGGGTCCTCTGAAAGCTGCCCAGCGAAGCTGTTCAGTGTAGTTCATAGCCTTCTTCATGTTGGCCCTAATGTTGACCAGCTAGAACACTCGGCAGCCTGTTGTAAGAATTTTGCACAGCACTTCAAGGACAAAATCACTTGGATTCAACATGAATTGGAATCTGCATTAAATGTAGTACCTTGGGTAGAGGCATTCAGTGCATGTTCTGTTCCTATTTTATTGACTACGTTTCAATTATTGAGACCTGATGACGTGGGCGAGATAGTTGGACAAGTTCCGCCTACCACCTGTTTACTTGACCTTTGCCCAAGTTGGCTGGTCATTCAATCTAAAGAAAAAAAATGGGTCTGGATCCAAGAAATTGTGAATTCTTCTCTGAAGGAAGGACTGGTCCCTCCCCTGTTAAAAAGGCAATGAATAGCCCCCCCTTTGAAAGGACAAACCTGGATCCAGAAGATGTTAGCAATTTTAGGCCAATAGCCAATATCCTCTTCCTGGGCACAATGTTTGAGTGGGTGGTGGCTGGACAACTCCAAGTGCTCTTGGAATAAAGTGAGTATCTGGACCTATTTTACTCCAGCTTTAGGCCTGGTTATGGAATGGAAACTCCCTTGGTTGCCCTCTGGGATGATTTTTGTCAGGAGAAAGTTAGGGAGATTGTGCCCCTAGACCTTTCAGCAGCATTCATTGCCATCAACCACAGAATCCTTCTGGATAAGCTGGCCAGGTTGGGAATCGAAGGCACTGCCCTGCAGTGGTTCTGCTCTTACCTGGTTGACCAATTCCAGATAGTGTTGCTGGGGGAATGTAGCTCTGCACCATGACAAGTATGTAATGGAGTACCACAGGGTTCCATTTTATCCCCCATGCTTTTCAACATTTACATGAATCTATTGGGAGACGTCATCAGGGGGTTTGGGCTGACGTATACACTGTACACTGGTGACACTTATGACACTTCAGCTCTACCTCTCATTTTCATCGATCTCAGGTGGGGCAATAACAATCCTAAACCAGTGTCTGCCTGGGGTGATGGGCTGGATGAGGGCCAACAAACTGAAACTTAATCCAGACAAGACAGAGGTTTTCTTGGTAGGTGGCTCCCATGTCCAGATGTAGGATATCTGCCCTTTCTTGTATAGGGTTGCACTCCCTCTACAGGACAGGGTCCAGAGCTTGGGGGTGATCTGGACCCTGAGCTGTCCCTGGAGCACCAGGTTGGCCCGGTGGCCAGGAGTACCTTCTATCAGTTCCAATTAATTCATCAGCTTTGACCAAATATGGACAGGCAGGACCTAGCAACAGTAATCCATGTCCTGGTAACCTCTTGGTTGGACTACTGTAATGCACTTTACATTGGGCTGCCCTTGAAAATGGTCTGGAAGTTACAGTTGGTGCAAAATAGAGCAGCTAGGCTGCTGACAGGGACTGTTAATACCATACATATTATACCAGTCCTCTATGAATTACACTGGTTGTCCATTGAAGTCCAAGTCCGCTTCAAGGTACTCATTTTGACATATAAAGCTCTTTTGAGAAAATCAAGAATGTGTCCTCTTATGCATGTTGGGCCAATGACATGTTGAGATAGCCCAATGGTTTTCATGGCAACCATGAAATCCTGAGCTTCCTCAGATTCAGCAGCCTCAGCATGGAGATTGAGATTCTCCAGAACCACCATTTTAAAGGTCTTCAAAACCAAATCTGAGACCCTGCTATCTCAATACTAAACTGGTTCACTCTTTGTCTTTATTGGATGTCCTACCAACCTTAGACTGTAAAAAACAAACATTTAAACCTGTTAAATGGGGGAGGGCATTATATTTGCATGTGCATCATGATTCTCTCCCATTATTGGCCTAGCAGGTTCCATATCCAACAGTCAGTTTATCCTTGCGCAGCTTAGAATGCAATGTATCCTTCCACATATAGTTCCACTTGGGAAGCCCTTTAAACTGCTGCTGCTGTGAGAGTGCTTTTCCTGAATCCTTCCACCTACCATTGCTGGATTTTATTTTTTTCTGAGCAGGAGAGGGAAACTGCTCAGTGCTCCATGTGCACGAAGTAAATTCACTGTGGTTTATCCCTCTTTTGACCAAGATCAGTCCATGAACTTGGGCTAGGAAAGGGGGGTATATTCAGTTGATTCTGTGCCTCATTTTAAGGCAGGAGAAGAAGAAAATAGCAAACACTCCATTTTCTCAGATAGCGTGAAACACTTTGGTAAGGAAAACAGAAGGTAATGTTTTCAGAAAGTAATGTGTAGAGTTGAAGGAACTAATTTCCTGCCTTCCAGTCTAGGAGGGATAAAGGGGTAAAGGGAACATTTATGTCAGCTGGCTTTAACCAGTACAATAAGTTCTTGAAGTTGTTTTAACCGTTTAAGGGCTCATTCCTGTCAAGAAAAATAGCCTATGCTGGGCAGGGCATGTTGGGAGCTTTAGGAACTTCTTTTCTACCTAAGCATACATAGGATTGTACCTTAAATGGTTTACATTCTATATATTGAAATGTTATGTTGTATTTTATTATCTTGGATCTGGGGTTTGTGATTTTGTGAATTGTTGTGAACTCCCAGAGAACAAGGTACCAGTGTCAGTGTTCTAGGCTATGCTTGTGCTCAGAAGCAGCCTGTCCTTACTTCTGAGCAAGTATTTGCTATTTTTCAATTGGCTCTAGTTGGTAGAACATAGGGCTGTGGGTCAAAAGAAAGTAGATCCCTCAAGCTTAAAGTGTGACCACTATAGAAGGCTAGCAATTTCAAAACAGTCTGGTTTAGATGTTAAGAATGGAAATTAAGACCTCAGAGAAGAGTGAGATGACTGATGTGTCTAGATTCAACTGCTCTACTGGACTACTCCAGTGCTCAACTGGACTACTCCAGAACAACCTAGAAAGAGAGGGATCCAACAGATAGAATTGCTGCTAGCCTTTCAGACTAGAAAATGTTATGTCAAAAATTAACCCATAGTGATTACCCCCAACGTTTGAAAAAGGGCTGTGATAAAACGGATCTTGCTATGGCAGATGGGGGATAACGTTGTTCAACCAAAGTTCATGCTTCAGTGGGCAACCCCCCCCCCACCTCCAACAACAGCGTTCTCTGTTAATTCTTTGGGGGCTGCATGCTAGTGGTGCAATAAAGTGGATAGAATTGCTCTTTCTGTCGCTACGTACCACACCCTTTAGCATTTCTTTCTCACTTCTTTTACTCTTCTAGAAGAAAGTATGAACTGCAAGGGCAAGAACAGTTAATTCATGTTGGAAGTCTGAACTGATCAGTGGTAGAGGAGGTTGTAAAATATGTATATGGGGGAGATTAAGAATGCATATGACAATTAAATTAGTTGCAAACTGGCATACATCTTAAAACATTTGGGAAACACTGATCCAAGCTCTCTTCAGCAAGTGTCTTATATGTAAACTGCAGGAATTAAAATGGAGGAAGCACCAGATGCTAATCCAGAAGCAGCAGAGGCAGCTGCTGCTCCAGAGCCTGCTGCTCCCCAGGACACTACTCTGGACCCTGCTGCTCCTGAAGATTCAGCTCCTGAACCTGCCCCAAAACAGGATGCTGATCCTGATCCTGCAGCTCCAAAGGATGTTGAGCCTCCCCCTGCCCCTGAGGCAGGCCCTCCAGCAGATACTAAACAGGGCCCTGTTGTGCCAGAGAATCTGGAGCCGGAGCCTGATCCTGGTCTTCCCGAGGATGAACCTGCTAGAGAAACATCGGATCGTATTCGACTTAAGGGTCTTGCTCGTACAGCTGTAGAAACAGGCCGCAGAATGTCTAAATTCCGCCGGAGCACTAGTGGAGTTCAGTCAATGCAGGAAACCCTGAAAGAAAGACAGGTTT